AGACATGTAACTTATGGAAACTAACACTCAAAGATTAAAACGAATTTTGAAAGCCCTAATTTTAAACCTAATTTTTACAGAAATTTGATCTCTAAAATTCTCTACACATAATGAACAGAAATGGAATATATGCACATGGTTGGATTTAGCACTATAATATCTACATTTTTCTTTCACATATCGTGGCCAATGGATGCCTGTATGAAAATATAAAAGTTGGAATTCTTTCCTCTTTCAGCTAAGATCGTGAATGGAGTTTGAATGAGATTTAGTAAGGCTTGATGGTTCCTTTAGCTTGCTTGAACCCCCCTGAGTGTGTTCCAATCCTTGCCTTGGCTTGGAAGTGCCTGGAACTCTCTATCCAAGTCAACCTACAAGATTGGAAAACAAAAATAGCAGATGAAGAAGGAGTAGTTACAGTGCAGGGATGATGGTCTGGATCACTTAGATATGAGGTAGGTAAAGTGTTTGAATGATTAAAACTTGAAACGCACGAGCAAATTTGTGGATTGATATGCTTATGCTCAAACTGCATGTTTTTGACAGGTTTTTGGTGAGAGGGTGTTTTAGAGTGTTTTAGGCCTTTAGCAATCGTGATCTCAGTTGTAATGGGTTTGTGTATTAGTATAGAGAATGTTTTTTGTCAACTTCACAACAGATTTTTCAGTTGTAGGCTTTTTGCACACTTTCTTGCTTTTGAAGAAAAGTGAAGGGACAAGTCTCTACATGCTTGTACTGGCCTTCTTGGAGTTGGTACAACCTCTACACAAATTTCTTTAGGTTTGTAGGACTTGTGTGTGCAGAGAAGACAGGTCCAATGCTCAAGAATTGAAAAGTTACAAAAGTTAAGCTTTTCCAAAATGGCAATGGCAACTTTGTGCCATTTATGGAATTAAAGCTTGGACAAAGACCCTTGGGCTTGGATTAAGTCTTTGTCAACATAGGCAGCATAGGTTCTGATTTGAATTTTGTTCTTCATTAAATGGGTTGAATTCAAAGTGAGAAATTGCCAACTTCATCTCTTCGATTCTCCCTACTCAAAAATGATCTTAAGGAGTTCTTGGATATTTTGGAAAGCTTGCAATTTTCTCTATAACTCATGTTTGAAATGCATTTCAAGATACCTTTTGGAACTAGGTGAAAAATTTCCATGAAGTTAGGTCCAAAACCTGCCTAAATTAGGGCAAAATTTCACTAAGTTATTTTAGTTCATGGGCATGTAATCACAAAATTATATATTGAGATACAAGAATATTTATGGAAAAATTTATGAAGAAAAGTTGTATATTTAATAGAGGTCTACAACTTTTATGTTGGGAACTTTCTTTGAATCATCTTGTATCATGGTGAAAAAATGGCTTAAAGTTGAGAAAAAATAAGAAATTTTCTATACTTAGAAAATTTTCTAAGTTAAGAAAAATTCAAATTTCAAAACCAAATCTTCAAATATTTGATTTCTTGAGGAAAAAGTTTCACATTTTGACATTTTTTGATGAATTGTGATTCTTGGCACTTGATTTTGACCAAAAAGTCAAAGTTTGACTTTTTAGTATACAATTGACTTTTGATCAGTTGACTGCATATTTCATCTGTCTATCCAATGGATTTGCAATGTTTTGATCCATGTAATTAGGTCAATATGATGAAATTGAACCCTTGGAATCATGCTTCAAACCAATTAGTCATTTTCTAGGTCAAAAATCAGAAATTGCCCTTTCTCAGTCAAAACCCTAATTTTGATCATTTTACCCTTTTGATGATTTGATCAAATTTCTTGAGGAATTGTGGTCCAAACTTGATCAAATAATACATATGAGTCTAGAATGTTGATGTGGATTAAAAATCATGTATTTTGACTGTAAATTGGCCATGGTTGGCTTTTTCCCCAATACAATTGATTTTTAGGTCAACTGTCCAATTGACTGATCAAAAATGTGGTTCAAAGCTTGAAACTTGTCATGAGTAATCTTAGGGGTCCATAATGATGTTTGAAAGTCATATGAAGCATTGATAGTCCAAAAATCCTTGTGCAGACTCAAACCCTAATATTGGGTCAACAGTGGAAGATGAGATGTCTTGAGCTGACCAAACCCTAATCCAGTCTTGAGTCGAGGAGATCTTGTGAGAAAAGTCTTGATAAATGAGAGGGAAAATTTTGGGGTACAACACAAATGCATGTGGTACCATTGGATCAGAACTCCCATCTCAAAATAATTGCCAAGAAATAGAGGCGTCAACAAGGCATAAGCCTTCATCTTAATATTCGCCAATACAGGCAATCTTAATGAGCATCAACTCTCTATTGATATGCAATGTATGCGACACAATCATGAATGTAGTAACAACAACCATAATTAACAACATCTTAACACCACATCATCGTTGGCCAGAAGCCTACATCTTAATAGCTGCCAATTATTAGTGGCATCTCAACATCATTCATCAACATCATTCATCGCATAATTCATCAACATAATTTCATCAACATAAATAATCGCATAATTCATCAACATAATTTCAATAACGTAATTCATCAACATAATTTTACAGCAACTCAGCCACAACAACAATACAACGATAGATCGACAATCCCTCAGCATTGGCCATAGGCCTACAACATGATAATGCCTATAATTAATTAATCATCTAAGGCTTACCTCTACTTAAAAAACCTATACATATTATTATTCTGTAATACTACATAATTATCATCAGTAATCTTACTGTTATGAACCAAGAAGTAATCTATAATCATCTTATCCTCATCATACTTCACAAAATCATCATAGCGATTAACGCGGGAAGCTAACTCTAATCCTAATTTGGGTTACTAAACTTATTCTCCTGATTATTAATTATAATCCTTAAGAATTAAGTTCATCGCGTCATCTATTCAACGCTTCAAACGACACCTCAAACAGAGTCCAGGAAACTCAAGTTACAGCCTTTGGAACGAATCTGCCAAAAATTAGACTACATGAGTCGACGCATAATGTTTTGAGTCGACGCGTACTGGGTGAAAATCCTACATGAGTCAACGCACAATCCTCTTGTATCGACACATACTGAGTCTGGAACACTGCATGTATTGACGCATGCTTCTTCGTATCGACTCATGCCGAGTCCAAAAACCTGCATGTATCAACGCATGGCCTTTGAGGTCGATGCATATTGTTCTGTCATGACTATTTTCTATGATTTCACTATGGTTTCACTATGATTTCCCTGCCTTAGGCCATAAAAACATCCTCTAATCATAGGTAATCATCAACTATAATAATCCTATGTTTCTACATTAATTATACATCATTAGGGCATCATTATTCATCTCTAAATCATTGATCTTCATCATACAACAATATATGCATTCCAATCATAAACAAGAAAACTTTTCACATATAATCCCACATACTGTTGTACCCCAATTTTTGACCTAAGATCCCATTTTTATTTTTGCATTTTTTAAGATAAGTCAAGGTCACGAAATACGGTCGGTTTTAACGTCTCACCTTCGAGCTTTGACTATGCGAAGATTCTCAAGTGTTTTGAACATTTTTAGCATATGTATCACTAATTTTTAATCGCATACAAAGGTGTATGTTCATGTTTTCTTTTGTGTCATGTGCAGAGACAGGTCTGAATCAAGAGCATCAGGTGTCGCGCCTCAATTAAGGTTTTGAGTCTCCCAAGCCAGAAGTACTGTTGATTGTGGATTCTCGAAGACTGATTCATGAAGGCACAACTGTTGCACCCTAAATTTCGCCCCTAATATGTTTTAGTCGCACTTTCATATCATATTTTGTTATTTGGTCACAATCATTAGTAAATATCTTCATTCATCACATTTTGCATCTTTAGTCGTATTTAAGTTGATCAGAAAAAGTCAATTTAAATCAAAGTTTGCATCGTCCTTCAGTTGTAAAATACCCGACATTTCACTTCATGCATTTTTATCTCTTTACTCGTTTCTTGCATTGCTCCAAGTTGTTTATATGTCGATAATAAAAATATTTTGATTTTATAGACAAACTGTTAAAAGCGATTCAACAATGTGCGAAAAATTAGCGAGAAAAATATTTCAAGTTTTCACCTTTTACCAATCATTTTATGAATCTGCGCTTCGCGTAGATTATGACGGTATGCTCCCTTTATTTTTTCGGTACAGTTCGAAGTCTCGTTTTTAACCTTAAACGTCTGTTTAGGCTGATATTTTTATTATTATTTTATTTTTGATTTTTGACTTCTTGAATATTTTTCCTGTAATCTTTGTGACATGTAGATTATTTTAATGTGTTCATTTTATTTTTTCGGATAAATTTTCGTCCGTTTTTTTATCATTTTCGATCATTTTGGGTCTTTATTTTTTATTCATAAAATATTCAAAAAAAAATCATTTTAAATTGAGTTATTTTTTATAATTTCAGGTTTTTATTTTATTTTATCATTTAAGGGCGTTTTTGTCACAAAATATATTATTTACACTATACTATATTCCTATTGGCTGTTGGATGAAATTGAGGATCGATACAAAATTGCCAAAACAATATTAATCACTTTTTACCCTTATCTCTCTCTAATTTTCTATTCCTCTTTTTGCTACTTACAGTAAGCCACCATCTCTTTATCTCTTCAATCTAAACACACAAACGGGGGACACAATTAACAACACACAAACTCATCTTCTTCATCCTCCTTCCTTTACAAACCCTTAATCTCAGTTTCTCTCTCCTCAGTTTCTCTCTCTAACCATGTCTACCCACATTGATAACCTCTGGATATTCGCCCTAGCTTCAAAATGCACACAAGAAAACATTGTTTACTCTTTTTTGATCATGGCTTTACTCTGGCTAACCATGAATTTCTTTTACTGGTCTCACCCTGGTGGTCCTGCTTGGGGCAAGTACTATTATTCCAATTCCAACAACAACAAAAACAAAAACAACCTTAAATCCTCTCCTATGTTCATTCCTGGTCCTAACGGTTACCCTCTAATTGGAAGCATGAACCTTATGTCTTCTTCACTCGCTCACCACCGTCTCGCTTCCGCCGCCAACAAACTCGCATCCCGCCACCACCGCGACACACATCTCCAATCTCTCTGCGCCGACGTCAGTCGCACCCTAAGCGAAACCGGAGCACTCCTCGTAAAAGATCCCCGATGCACCGTGGAAGACAACGACCACTTCATCGACATGATGGAGAAGTACTTCTCCTCTCCACACGAGTTCAAGATCCGTCAAGAAAGACCTCACCTGCATTACCAGGTTGGAGTTACGCCGGAAAAGGTGGAGGTTCCGAGGTGTTTGGTGGATGAAGAAATGCAGAAGAAAGTGAAGGAAATGCCGCGGGAACATCAGCCTCATACTCCGGTTGGTGCTGATCTCAAGTGGAGATATTTCTGGAGAATCGGTCCCCGGCCTTCTCTTACACGATTTCAGGAACTTAATGCAGAGCCAGTAATTCCTAAAGGTTTTCCGGAATGGAAAGAAGCTATGGATTCCAGCCAAGTTGCTCTGGTGGCGCTTCTTCTCAGATCGGAGGGGTTTGAGCATTATCGATGTGATAGGAACCTCTCCATGGGGATGAATCTCAACAACATGGCTAAGATGCTGAAGTGCGCTGGGAATGATGATATCATTACCATCAAGGCTGATGATGGCAGTGACACCGTCACCTTCATGTTTGAAAGCCCTACCCAAGATAAGATTTATGATTTTGAGATGAATCTGTTGGGCTTTAGTTTCAGTAGCCCATACGAATTTCTTACTATACCCCTTATACTCTGCTTGCACCCCTTTGTTAAAAATTTGTTTTTTTAGTTTAATTTTAATTTCTTAACTTATTTGTTTTAGTTATTTAGTTTAGTTAGTAAAAATTATTTAATAATCGCATTGTTTTAGTTAAGTAATTTAACCATGGAATCAATTTAGAATTATTTAATAATCTTAGAATTTTTAGTTAGTTTAGAATTATTTTGATAACCTTTGAATTTTTAGTTAACTTAGATTTATTTTAGTAACTTTAGAAATTTAAGTTAGTTTAGATTTAGTTTAACAACTTTAGAATTTTAATTTTATAACTTAGTGATTTTATAATTAACTTAGTTTATATTTAAATTAGTTTAGATATAATTTAGTAATTTTAGAGCTTTAATAACTTTAGAATTTTTATTTGATTTAGATTTTAACTTGATAACTTTAGAATTTTTTTTTAATTTAATTTAGTAACTTTAGAATTTTTTTTGGTTTAGGTTTAATTTGATTTAGGTTTTAATTTAATAATTTTAGAGTTTTCATTTAGATTTAATTTAATGCCTTTATAATTTCGATTTAATTTAAATGTAATTTACTAATTTTAAAATTTTAATTTAGTTTAGATCTAATTTAGTAATTTTAGAATTATTTTTTATAACCTTAGAATTTGTAGTTAGTTTATAATTATTTTAACAAGTAATCTTAATTTTTTCAATTTAGTTCAAATAACTTTTTAGATGATTAGTTACATTTATTTGTTTTATTTCCTTGTGGATTTTCGAATATTTGTAATTTGATGTTTATCTTATTTCGCTTGTTTGCTCAATTCCAAGGGAAATATTTTTAACTTTGTTGACTTCATGTCATCAAATATATTTGTCACAATCGTGCGAATACCTTCATCCATTTTTACTTATTTACTATTTTTCCAAACTTAAGATAATTCTCCCAAAAGACTCCATTTTCAAACTCATACCTTTTAAGTCAAAACTTGGACACTAGGTCGTCGTATCTTCAAAAATCTCGTCCATACCCATCTTTTAGCCAAACGGATCATTTTAATCAAACAAACAATTTTAAACCAAAAAAAACAGATATTTCAAAAGGTTCCTGCGGAGTACCGCAGATGCATTGGGTGCTAATACCTTCCCATTGTATAACCAACCCCCGAACTCTCGATCTCTTTTCAAAACGCATTGTATTTTCATTACTTTTAAGTATTATTATACATTGCATATTTTAGGGTTTTATTTCGCTCTTTTCCCTTTTCCCTTGGAAATAATAAAGCGCGGTGGCGACTCTTGCTTTTGTGAGTCAAGTTAATTAATAGCTTGATCTCCGATTTTCACCGCTACACATACTACTCATCATAAATCCTATTCTAGAGTCAGAACCCCGTCCTTACCTTGGATTAAAGGTTGCTCTACGACTTTTCCGATTGAATTCTGTTTTGGCTCTTTTCCTTCTTTTCTATAACTTTCACGTTCTCTTCCAACCCTTATTTCTTTCTCTCTTACGACTTCTTCTTTTTCCTTATTATTTCTAACAACTAATATATTAACCCTATAATTCTCATTATGTCTTAATGGGCTTAAAACTCCTACACCCTCTTTCTACTACTTATATTCCTTAAAATATGCCGACATCAAATAATATTATTCTAATATTATTCCATAACTTAATAGAATAATTAATTCCAATAACAACAACACATCAACTATCATAATAACACAACTTCACAATTAATCCAAAAAGAATTTAATTAAATAATTAATTAAATTACGGGCATCCTTAAAAATTTACCTTAATCAAACAACTCTGGATAGGAGTCCCGCATCTTGCTCTCTAACTCCCAAGCCAATATTTCTCCGGCAGCTCTTAGCCAAACCACTTTAACCAAAGCAATCTCTTTTCCCCCCAAAGTCTTTGTTTCACGATCCGCGATCCATACAGGCATCATCTCCACTGTAAAGTTATCCCGTACTTGCACATTATCCAAATGAATCACATGAGATGGATCTGAAATATACTTCCGGAGTTGTGACACATGAAACACATCATGCAAATTCGAAAGATTAGGCGGTAAAGACACTCTATAAGCAACATTCCCCAATCTCTGTGAAATCTGATATGGTCCAATAAAACAAGAAGTGAGCTTCTTAGACTTCAATGCTCGCCCAACACCATTCACAGGTGTAAATCTCAAAAACACATGGTCACCCGCTTGAAATTCTAAATCCTTCCTTCGATTGTCTTGATAACTCTTATGTCTACTTTGGGAAGCTTTCATCTGTTCTCGAATCAACTTCACCTTCTCAGTAGTTTCACGAACAAGTTCAGATCCAAGTACTACACTTTCACTAGATTCATGGCAACATAAAGGAGTTCTAAATCTTCGACCATACAACGCTTAAAAAGGTGCCATCCCAATACTAGAATGGTAACTGTTATTATAAGTAAACTCTATCAACATAAGGTAAGTATCCCACGAACCTCCCTGCTCAAGAACACATGCCCTCAGCAAATATTCTAACAATTGAATAGTCCGTTCAGTCTGACAATCTGTCTGAGGATGATACGCCGAACTCAAACTCAACTTAGAACCCAACGCTTCTTGCAAACTCTTCCAAAAATCAGAAGTTAATCTTAGATCCCTATCTGGCACAATGCACAAAGGAACACCATGCAGCTTCACAATCACACTAATGTAAATCTCAGCCAACTTCGATCTGGAAAACTGATGTTAATAGGAATAAAATGAGCCAACTTTGTAAGAATATTGTTCTACCAAAAAATTTGCCCTCCCATATTTCTCAACACCTGGCAAGTGAGGTCCCAAAATTGCTCAAGGAAATTCTAGAGTTGACCAGACAAACTCTCTCCTAAGGCAGTCTGTCTCAAATTAAGGTTTCCATTTTCATCAAGATGTGTGAATCACAAAGGAACAAAATGCTCATCATTGTCCTAATATATTCTCAAGATCATCCATCCCAAGTTTCATGGCTTGCAGAGGAAGTTTGCTCAGTCAATTGCTCAAATGCCTGAAAATCAACTATACTAGTTTAAAAGTCAACTGTGGGCCACATACAGTCAAACCTCAAGTTTTTTGGTCAACATCCTCATTTTGAATTATTATTCATCATTTTATCAAGGGTTGATCATGATTCCTCAAGGATTGCTCACAATTCATCAAAACCCAAAAGTTACTAAATTAGGGTTTTGCAGGAAAAGTCAACTCAACTTTGACCAAGCATAACTTTCTCATACTTTATCATAAATGACCTATCCAAAGCTCATTTTGAAGAGGATTCAATTCCCTACAATTCATCTCCAGCTCCCAAGTTCAGAATATGCACTAAAAAAAGATATGAATTTTGACATTATAGGTCATTTTGGAAAGTCAACAAAAACAACTTTTGGATCAAAGCTTCATACATGAACATGGAAGACTAAATTGAGATGAGACCAAAAGGGTTGATTAGGGGACATCCTAAGCATTCTAAAAAGTCCAAGAACACCTCTCTAGGGTCAAAGTTGATAGAGTTATGCATTGGCCAAGTTGACCATTTTTGCAAAATTGCCAAAAGACAAATGTGCTCAAATTTGCATTTGTTGTCAAATGGGCCTAGTTTTTCATGATTGAATCTTGCTTATGACATGGTCCACAACCCAAATACTCACTCACATTTTATTCGCTTCATTATTTATTTTGATTTTGATTTTTTTATTTATTAAAAATTGAATTAAAACAAATAATAGGTAAATAATAGCAAAGATTTGTTTTGATTGGATTTTTTGATAGAATTACAAGTTCATTATGTTGGAAGATCAGAATCAAATCATATCAATGGCAATTGGAACAAAAAGAGCATGATTAGGCCAAAATTGGAAAGATATCATATAACATGAAAACAAAATCAAATCTTCAAGATTTGTAGTGAGACTAGTGGTTTTTACAACCCTAATTCACTCTAGTACATATAAAGAATTAAGCCAAGGCAAGAAAGGAGGTTAACAGTCGTGCAGAGCCAAGAACCAAACTGAAAAAAGTTCAAGAAAAGTGGTGATTCAATTTCTATCCTAGAGGCCAATCCAAGCCACTCTAACGATACCAACAGACTCCTGGACATCCCATGAACGTATCCCAATCAATAGCAAGCATTTTCACGTCTGGAATTGTAAGTTACAGGTACCACGGTTTGCCTCCAAACTCAATTTCGATTTCGTTGATTTACTTGTCATACGCATGTTTTGATTATATATTCTTGTTCATCATTGAGTTAGCAAAATATTAGTACCACTTAATTGCATTTTTAACGCCTGTACATGATATTGCCATAGCTAGGGTTTTGTGTTCTTGTTTAGGGTTTTTCAATGCAGGCAAAATTGGGCGTTAATTCTGGTACCATGATGCTCGTGAGGATGAGACGAGTTGATTGGTACTAGCCATGGTCATTTATCTTGAGCATATAATATTTTTGAGAAGCACAGGTCTGTACCTACAGCAAGGTGTCTGTAGGTAAAAGTATCTTAGGCTAAAACGATGGTTTAGGGAAGAAGACGATGCGTGGCACTCCCTGGTTAGGTGGTTTGAATGTTAGCGCATTTTTCTGAATGCACCACGTGATTTGATTATATTTGTTTATTCCTATTATATTTACAAACAAGCAAAGAAGCTCAGTAGGCAAGCAGGTATTAGAAATGTGCATAAGGACTTCGGTTCGATCCCCAGGTCCCATATTTGTTTCATATTATTTTTCAACAGGTGATCAAGCGCATTGCATTAGTGTACGTCCACGATGTGAAATAAAGATCCAACCGTCAAACGTCTCTCCAACCAGATCCAATTCCATTCCATTGAAGGCCCACCTATGTACCCCAAGTCAACGTGTGCATCAGATCTGGCAAAGTCAAGCAGGCCTTAGCTTTATTGGGCCTAGAAATTCAAGTTCCACCCCCATAATTGCTAATGATGCCAGGCCCATCTTCTCTTTTTCCTTATTTTCTTTTATTTAATTCTTTTAATTTTCCTTTAATTAATTTAATTGACAATTAATTACCTTTTT